TCTTAAGAATTCTATCACTGTAACAGTTTCTGAACACTGGGGCAACACTTCCCAAAGTTTTGTTTTTGATTTTCTCTATTACCACAAGACTGCGCTGAGCCTTCTGATGGGTACACACCCTGAGGATCCCTAAAAGGATGATACATAGTTGCGTACCACATATCTCAATCTTACTGGTCCACAAAACACCTTTTGCTCTCCATAGGAAAGTGGAGTACTAAATTTTGTGGTTTCAAAGAATCTGTTATAAAATATTTGAATGACTGTTCACCATGACCATTTTAAAAGGAATTTAAAATTGGATTAACTACCTGTACATAATCTCAAAGCCTGATTCTATGTATTGTGTTCCTGTCTTCTGAAAATTGTGTTGGGGCAATATTGTCATTTTTACCCAAGTCTCAATTCCATAGGATCACTAAGAACTTTGAGAAAACACTAATGGACGTTATAGTGGCACCAAAAGGCCAAGATCTATTCTCTTCTATACATTGCTTTCCAAGATGGGACTTGAGTATATCTCTTTACTGTTTGGTGTTCAAAAATACGTGCTATCTTGATAGCCTTGTTAAAGAGGAATATCACAACTAAGTATTCTACACAGCAAAACCTTCCCCCTGCTAAGTAGTACAAACAGATGTTAAAATCTGCATTTGTCATTGTATTTAATATGCAAAAATTCTGTTTTCTGCTTCTTTTTTTAGAATTGAACTTTTGATGATACTTTACACTGAAAATGAGTGTAGCAGAGGAATATACTCCCCTAGATATAAAAATCACCAGCCAGGAAGTCTTAGTTTCGGGAAAGTCCTGGACATATCTTAGAAGGGGATGTTTTTTGTTTATATGGCTATAAAAAATGCATATTAGTTATAAACTCATGTTTTGTCTTTTTACACGTATAACTGGTGTAGCAACATAGAACCAAAGAGCTTGAAGCTGGAGGTCTCTGGTGTGTCATTGACTTTGTTTTTGCATTCGGATATATTACTAGAGCCATATAGTGACTTTCAGGAAAGTGAGAGGATAGAAACTTTAATTTCTGCAAGTTGTAAAGTTAATTAGTTGTTATTACCTGTCACTGTGCTACTTCATGTAACAGCAGAACTGATTTAAAACCACTTGTTGAATCATAGAAAGGGGTTGTCAGTTTAACACCAGGGACTGATTTTTAGTGACTTGAATGACTGGTGTTCTAGATGAAGGGTTTGGAGGAAGATGTGTTAAGAAAATCATTACAATAAATATTCCCCCAAATATTTTTGAGGCAAAAACATTTCCTTATCATTGGTTTATTTTCTAATTTGGGTTTTTTGTTTGTTTTTGCCGTTTTCATAGAAACTCTAAATACTAGCAAAAGTAAGGGATAAGAGATATGGAATACTATCTAGAATGATAAAAAAAAAGGCGGGATGATTCCAGTTTGTACATTTGTCATAATTATTTAATATAAAGAAATGTAGCAGGTGTGTGATTTATTGGCATTCTTGCATTATCTGTTGCATTCCCAGTCAAACCACTAACATTTAAATATAACTAATACAGATTTATAGCTTATAAGATATTTTCACAACTACTAATCAGTAGAAACAAATAAAATCACATACGGAGTATTTGGAATCCAAAGCTCAGCTCTCTTACCAGCACACTGTTTTACTTTACTTATTACAAAGTGCAATACCTTTTTTACTTACATATTTACATGTTTAAACTTTTTCATTAGCTCATCCTATTTAATAGCAATGATTTTCCTAACTCATTATGGAAGGTCGGTGAATATATATGCTCTTTTTAAGGTATTCTTTACTTGATGGATAACTCTACTTTCAAAACCTCTGCAGTTTATTAGGTAATTTAGTGGTTTTTACCTCTTTACTAAAACACTTTGCAGACATTCACATCTATTTGCAGAAAACATCTTTTTGCTCTGTGTACACATTTTGACAGCATTCATCATCTGCTTAACAGACCAAATCAGTTCTGCCAAAGCCATTATGGTTGACTACAAAAATGCACATTCAGTTCCTTAATAAAAAGAATATTTTTGCAATAATATATCAGATTGTTAAAGTTTACAATATACAAGTTTTATATGGTGCTTAACCAATCACTAGCCCAGTAAAGTGTTAACCATGATACTTTTCTTTTTGAAATGATTATCACATACTTTTTACTCTTCAGTACTTTTTTTCAAGATAACCACTGGATTTTTTTTTTTAATCTTTAACCAGAAACCTTAAGCTGAATTGGAGCAGAAGAAAGAAGAAATTCTATCATATTGTAGGAGGGGGCACTGGAAGGGAAGAGGGTGTGGTTAGCTAGGAGGGATCACTGTTGCTTGAATTAGCTACTTTTGCCTTTCTTTTGATTTTTAGGATTTATGTATTTTGCTTTTTAAAAGGATTCTTCTAGGTGCGTTATAAATATATTAAGTATATTTCTGAAAGTTTTGGTTAATATAACAAGTACATTAAAGAAGGTAACTTTCTAAATTATCTGCAGTATAAAATTTTGAAAGTGAGTAATCCATTATAGTATGATTGTTAAAACAAACAAACAAATTCATTGCCCTCCAGTTGATTCCGACTCATAGCTGCCCTGTAGGGCGGAGTAGAATTGCTCCATAGGGTTTCCAAGGCTGTAATCTTTATGGAACCAGACCTGCCGCATCCTTCTCCTGAGGAATGGCTGGTGGATTCAAACTACCAACCTTCCGGTTAGTAACCAAGGGATTTAACCACTGCCCCACCAGGGCTCCTTATAGTAAGATTGCAGTGTTTATGTAATATTGATCATTAATAAATCTTTAGGAGCCCTGGTGGTGCGATGGTTAAGTGCTCAGCTCCTAACCAATGTCAGTAGTTCGAACCCACCAGCTGCTCTGCAGGGGAAAAAAGACCGGGCAATCAGTTCCCATAAAGATTACAGTTTTGGAAACCCTACGGGGCAGTTGTGTTCTGTCATATGAGGTCGCTATGAATCAGAGTTGACTTGATGGCACACAATAACAATAATGTTTTACTGATTGATTAACCGCTACAAATTATGTGTTCTGTATCTAAGTTTTTCTAGAATGCCTGTGCTTAAAAGGGTGGCCCAAATAATGTAGCAGGAAAAAAAGAAAACACTAAAATTACATTTTCTGAGATTTATGGAGTAATTACAAAGGTAAAACAAAAGTTAACTTTCAGGTATTCTCTGTGAATTATAAGTCATAATTCAATATTACTCTAGAGACTTTTTTTTCTAATGTTTTATTGTACTTCAGGTGAAGGCATACAGAACAAATAGTTTCTCATGAAACAGTAGTACACATGTTGTTTTCTGACATTGGTTAACAACCCCACAACATATTAACCCTCTAAATTCTCAACCTTTTTTTTTTTTGGTGAAAATACACATAGCCAAAGATACACCGTTTCAAAAATTTCTACATACACAGTTCAGTGACATTGACTACGCTCTTCCAATTGTGCTGTTATTCTCACTTAAGATGAAGGCTTACAGAACAAAATAGTTTCTCATTTAACAGTTACTCCAAATGTTGCCCTATGACAATGGTTAACAATCTCACAACACATTAACAATATCCTTACTCAACCTTGGGTTCCCTATCACCGGCTTCCTTGTCCCCTTCTGCCTTCTGGCCCTTGTCACTGGACTCCTGTACCTCGTTAGTCTCATTTGGTTTTATGGGGCTGTCCACTCCCAGGCTGAACAGTGAACCTCGGAGGTAACTTCACCACTGAGCTAAAAGGGTGTCTGGGGGCCATACTCTCAAGGTTTCTCCAGTCTCCTTTAGGCCAGTAAATCTGGTCTTTTTTTTTTGTGAGTTAGAATTATGCTCTACATCCTTCTCCAGCTCTGTCCAGAACCCTCTTTTGTGATCCCGGTCAGAGCAGTCAGTGGTAGTAGCCAGGCACCATCTAGCTGTACTGGACTCAGTCTGGTGGAGGCCTTGGTAGCTGTGGACAATTCGTCCTTTGGACGAATCTTTTCCTTGTATCCTGTTCTCTTCATTCTCCCCTGCTCCCGAAGGGATGAGACCAGTGGAGTATCTTAGATGGCTGCTCACAGGCTTTTAAGACCCCAGACACTACTCACCAAGGTAGAATGTAGAGCATTGTCTAGAGACTATTTTAAATATCCTGTTTCTCTAGTAGTGAAAGAAATGTAATTTCCTAATATTGAAATCATATGTAAACTTTTATCTCGCTGTGTTAACTTCTCACTTTTTATCCTAATTAGCTAACCAAATTTCATACCTTCTGGAGGTTTTTCTTTTACCCCCCAGTGCCCTGAATGTGCATTGTAATTTGGAGATCATGGACCATTGTACTTACAGTCACTAGAATGTGTGGAATACATGCAAAGTAGGCTAATCTCATTACCATATACATATTCAATGTGGACGAATATGTTGTAGATTTTTCTTATGTTGTTCAGGACTAATTTCTTCCCGGTCTGAAATTCCATGATATCTTTTTTTTTTTTTTCGTATGCATAAATGACATTATAGGGTTTGGTTTATTACGTACTTTTCTTACTTTGTACTTGGTAAGCAGATATTTTTCCAAATTACTGCAATATTTCAATTAAATCTGTATGCACAGTGATAGTAAATTTGTGCATTTGCTGAATTTCAGTCCCTAGCATAATGTTATGCACATGGTAGGCACTTAACAGTATTTGCTAATGAATACATCAAAAAAAACCCTGTGTGGATAGTGTACTTCATTTTTATGATGGAAATCACTCTGTGCCAGCTTTCTAAACTGAGCAGCTCTAGAGGAATGCCAGCTCTGTTGCTAACACAAGAAATAATCACCACGCCTGAACACTTAGGAGAATCTCATGTCAGGTCATTTATCTCAATTTAAAGGCAAACTGTCATTCTAATCTTTTTGCTTTTAGATTTGAAATGTGAGTGATTCACTTCTGAGCATCAATTATAGCTTTTTTTTTTTTCACCTTTATTTTCTTCTGTTTGTGGTTTTTAGCCCCCTGTGAAGGCAATATGTTCTTCTGCCATAGTAACATGTGCATTAACAATACGTTGGTCTGCAACGGACTCCAGAATTGCGTGTATCCTTGGGATGAAAATCACTGTAAAGGTAATGATTAGTCCTTGAGATTCATAACGTTTCCTGCCTCTGGGGTGGGGGGAACGTTTATTTCAATGTTTATATACATCCAATACTCTTAGAAATAGAGCATATAGTAGCTTTTAAAGGAGCCCTGGTGGTGTAATGGTTAAGCACTCAACTGCTAACTGAAAGGTTGGTGGATCAAATCTACCAGCAGCTCCATGGGAGAAAGACCTGGTGAAATGCCTTGGAGGCACTATGGGGCAGTTCTACTCTATCACATGGGGCAGCTGTGAGTCAGAATCAGGTTAATGGCATACAATAACCACAACAATAGTGAGTTTTATGAGCTTTGTGCATGTTTAGTAATTGATTAGTAGCATTTTTCTTTGCCTTTACTCATGCGGTTTCCAGAGGTTTCTTCATTGATTAATGCACAGGGAACTGTCCTGAACATTTTTATTAAAGACTTTTCTCTATTAGAACCTACAGAGCCAGGGAGAGGGAAATCGGAGCTTAGTGGGGTGTGTTACTTCCCTCTCATCCAGGTGCCCTTTCCCTGTCTCTCCCCAGGTGCTTCCGTCTATTCCTATTTGTCCTCGTTGGACATTGTAGACACACACACTAAATTTAGACAAAGTGTATTGAAGGAACATTTTTGCTTTCACGCACTTTCTGCCACTTCAGTTTTGCTGCTAAAATCTTTTTTTTCTTTCCTGCTAAAATCTGTTTTGTCCCCCCAATGAAGATAACTTCCAAGCCCCCCTCCCCTTCTCTCAGCTAAAGACAAAGGTTGTTTATGTAGACAGGGATCCTTGGTTGGGTTATAAAGGTTATATGTTTTAGTTAAATTGGAAGAGCCAGATATATTCTTTTATTAAGATCCAATATTAAACAATTTGCAAAGGAAGAGAAACAGGCAAATAACTTTCATGTGTAAAATCCAATACCATCTATTAAAATGCCTTCTGTGTCTAGAAGCAGAAAAGCATTGTAACAGTAGCTATGGTTTCAGACTGTCAATAAGGAAGGCAGGTCCTGGTTCAACTATTTTGATTGTGGGGCATTGGCGATGGTTAGTTTTGTGTCCAAGGATCAATTTCTGAATGGATAGGAAATTAAATAGTCTTTGAAGGATCTTAATACAGCACTGCTAATCCTTTCATGAGTAATGAGATACACATTCAACCACCTACATTTTCCACCTCTCAGGTTTTTTTGAAAGTTGCTTTCCCACTTTCAATACATGCTGCCATCAGGAGGGGACCTGTACAACTGTTTGAAATAGAAGAAACAGGTGTATGCCGCAAATTACTCTTTTTACAGGGTATTGTATAAGGTGGCACATCCTGGTGCATCCTATAGCGGCATTTGTGTCCCAATAAACCTGCACACGAGTCCACAAGGACATTTGTATCCCAGAGGCCAATAGGACATATGCATCCCACCAGTCCTACTCAGAAAGCCCAGAGGGACACACTCAATTCAGATAGACTCAGTGATTCAGCATGCATTCCATTAACGAAAAAAAAAATTCAACAAAAAATCTAAAGTGAGAAATAAATTAGGTCATGAAAGAGCTTTAATGATTAGTGGTCACTGTCTGTTTTGTTCCTAATGTGATGCTGTTCCTACAAATATAGGGGGTATTGACATGAGACAGTAATCAAGAAAACGTGAATTGGAATGCATTATGAACTCCTATATTCATCTTCTGAAGACAGAAAAACGGATGAAATTTCAGGGCAGAAATCAAAGTAAACTGGTCACTGTACACTTCACACAAAGGAACAGCCTCAAAATGGGAGCAAAGCCACATTCAAATTTAATTCAGATGGGAAACATTTCCTCATTTATTCTGTTTTTATTTTTAATCAAATAATAAAACACAAGGGGAGAAATCAATCTATCTTTCCACTGCAAAGAAATAAAATGACGACTGAAACCACTCTTAAACTATGATTAGACCTATTGTTTATTTGTTGCTTTAGTTTTATTTTATTTTAACATCTTGCTGCATGCACGTTAGGAAAAACATTAGCTTTGGTGCTCCAGAAAGAGCAGAAAAGGAAGGCGGGACTGCTGAATAACAACAAAAAGAACCATATTAATAACAATGAGTATATGTTGCTGATAGTTGTAAGAGTAATAAGTTAATCATGTTTCACTTTTATCATTTACATAGAACAGTTTTATTGAGATATACTTCACATACCATATAATTCGCCCATTTAAAATGTATACTTCAATAGTTTTTAGTGTATTCAGATTTGTACAATCATTGCCAAAATCGTTTTTAGAACGTTTTCATCCCTCTAAAAAGAAACCTGATACCCACTAGCAGTCACTTCTTATTTCCTCCCAGCACCCCAGCCCAGTCTTAGGCAACCAATAATTTACTTTCTGTCTCTAGATTTGCCTATTCTGAACCTTTCATGTAAAGGGAATCATAACATATGTGTTTTTTGTTGTTGCTTGTTTGTTTTTGCTTTGTTTTGTTTTTGTGACTGGCTTCTTTCACTTAGTCTAGTATTTTCAAGGATCATGCATGTTGTGGCATGTATTAGTACTTCATTCCCATTTGCTGTTGAATAATATTCCGGTGTATGGATAGACCATGCATCATACCATTTATTTCATACCATTTGTTTATTCTTTCATCAGTTGATGGATATTTGGGTTGTTTCCACTTTTGGGCTATTATGTGTAATGCTTCTATGAGCGTTCGTGTACAAGTTTTTGTGTAGACATATGTTTTCATTTCTCTGGAGCATACTCCTTGGAGTACAAGTACTGGGTCATATGGGAACTCTATATATAAATTTTGGAGGAACTGCCAGAATGATTTCTGAAGCTGATGTAACATTTTAGATACCCACCAACAGAGTATAAGTTTTCCAAATTCTTCACATCCTTTCCAACACTTGTTATTATCTATCTTTTTTATTATAGACATTCTAGTGGGGTAAACTGGGGAGCCCCTGGGTCATGCAAATAGTTAATGTATTCAGCTGCTAACTGAAAGTTTGGAATTTTAAGTCTACCCAGAGGTGCCTCAGAAAAAAGGCCTGGCAATCTCCATCCAAAAAATCAGACATCGAAAACCTTATGGAGCAGTTCTACTCTGACAACATGGAGTCACCATGAGTCAGAATCAACTCAGTGGCAACTGGTAGCCGGTAGTGGGAAGAAGTGTTATTTCATTGTGGTTTTTAATGACATTCAGCATCTTTTCATGTGCTTTTAGGCCATTTCTCTATCTTCTTTGGAGAAATGTCTATTTAGATCCTTTGCCCGTTTTTAAATTAGGTTGCTGTTTTCTTATGGCGTATTAAAGGTGCTTACGTATTCTGGTTACTAGACCCTTATCAGATACATAGCTTTTAAGGATTTTCTCCTATTCTCTGTTGTTGTGTGCTGTTGAGTTGATTCCAACTGATAGTGACCCTGTATGACAGAGTAGAACTGCCCTATAGAGTTTCCTAGGCTGTAATTTTTATGGGAACAGATCACCTAGTCTTTTCTCTTGTGGAGTCGCTGGGTGGGTTCAAACCACCAACCTTTCTCTAGGATGACATTTTCACTCTCTCTCTTAGTGTCTCTTGATGCACAAGCTTTTAAATTTGATGACATTCTATTTATCTGTTTTTTGTTGTTATTGCTTGTACTTTTATTGTTATATTTAAGAAATTATTTAACCTAAGCTCATAAAGATTTATGCCAATGTTTTTTTCTAAAAGTTATATAGATTTAGCTCTTACATTTAAGTCTTTGATCTATTTTGAGTTAATTTTTGCATGTGGTGTGAGAAAGGGGTCCGTCCAGCTTCATTCTTTTGCATGTGGCTGTCCGCTTGTCCCAGCACCATTCAATGTAGAAACTATTCTTTCCCTATTGGATGGTCTTGGCATCCTTGTTGGTTGACCATAGATGTGAGTTTATTTGTGTACTCTAATTATATTCCACTATCTATATATTTACACTTATGACAGTTTCACATTGTTTTGACTATGGTAGCTTTGTAGTAAGTTTTGAAATAGGGATGTGTGAGTCCTCCAAATTTGTTCTTTTTCAAAATTGTATTGGCTATTCTAAGTCCTTTGAATTTCCATACAAACTTTGGATTCAGCTTGTTAGTTTCTGCAAAGAAGTCAGCTGGAATTTTGATAGGGATTGCACGGAATCTGCATATCAATTTGGAGAGTATCAGCACCTTCAGAATATTAAATCTTCTAATCCATGAATATAGAATGTCTTCCCATTTACTTAAGTCTTTTTTAAATTTCTTTCAAAGATGTTTGGTAGTTTAAGTTGGTACTTCTTTTGTTAAATTGATTCCTAAGTCTTTTATAATTTTTGATGTTGTCATAAATTAAATTTTCTTAATTTCATTTTCAGACTTTCATTGCTTAAAAAAAAAAACAAAGTTGCCATCCAGTCGATTCCGACTCATAGCGACCCTATAGGACAGAGTAGAACTGCCCCATAGAGTTTCCAAGGAGCACCTGGTCAATTCAAACTGCCAAACTTTTGGTTAGCAGCCATAACTCTTAACTAGTACACCACCAGGGTTTCCTGTTCATTGCTAGTGTAGAGAAATACAATTAATTTTTGCATATTTATTTTGTATCCTGCCACGATGCTCAACTGGTTTATTAGTTCTAACAATATTTTACTGGATCCCTTAGAATTTTCCGTATATAACATCATGTCATCTGAAAATAAAGATAGCTTTACTTCTTTTCCAATCTGGACATCTTTTATTTTTATTATGTTGCCTAATTGCCCTATTAGAACCTCCAGTACAATGCTGAATGGAAATGGTGAGAGTGGACATCCTTGTCTTGTTCGTGATCTTGGGGAGAAAGCATTCAGCCTTTCACCATTAATTATGATTTTTTAGGTGCCCTTTATCACACCAAGGATGTCCCTCCTATTCCTAATTTTTGAATGTTTTCATCATGAAGGGGTATTAAATTTTTTCAAATGTGCTTTCTGTGACTATTGAGATGATCATGTGGTTTGGGCCCTTTTTCTGTTGATATAGAGCAGCATGGGGATATTCATGTTCCAAGTAGTGGAGTTGAGAAGTTTTCTTATACCTATGAAAAGAAAATAATTTATTGTTTAAAAAATTACCAGTTTGTTCCTAAATGTCATGCTAAAGGTCTTAGAAGACCTTTTCCAAACATACATGCATGTGTGTGTGCCCACATGTATGTGTTTTATAGCAGGGATGTAACGCTGGACAATTGGAGAGCTGTTTTCAATGCTAGAAGATGGGGCCTTCATGAAAATTGAAACTTTTTTTAATTCATGCTACTTTAAGTCTATAAAAACTATGCTTGGCCTATTTCATTTTAAAGTTCTGAATATCCACTTCGACTGTAATTTTTAATGTGTGGTGGTGTGTTTCTCTTCTGTTCTGTTTGTGGTTTTCACTCTCCCCAACCTGTAGAAAAAAGGAAAGCCAACCTCCTGGACCAGCTGACCAACACAAGTGGGACTGTCATTGGTGTGACTTCCTGCATCGTGATCATCCTTATCATCGTCTCTGTCATTGTGCAGATCAAACAGCCTCGTAAGAAATACGTCCAGAGGAAATCAGACTTTGACCAGACTGTGTTCCAGGAGGTGTTTGAGCCTCCGCATTATGAGTTATGCTCTCTCAGAGGGACAGGGGCTACAGCTGACTTTGCAGATGTGGCAGATGACTTTGAAAATTACCATAAACTGCGGAGGTCATCTTCCAAATGCATTCATGACCATCACTGTGGATCACAACTGTCCAGCACTAAAGGCAGCCGCAGTAACCTCAGCACAAGAGATGCTTCTGTATTGACAGAAATGCCCCCACAGCCCGTCAAACCCCTCATCCCGCCCATGAACAGAAGGAATATCCTTGTCATGAAACACAACTACTCGCAAGATGCTGCGGATGCCTGTGACATTGACGAGATTGAGGAGGTGCCCACCACGAGTCACAGGCTGTCCAGACACGATAAAGCCGTCCAGCGGTCAGTATCCATAGATTTTTTGATGACAGCTATAACCTGAGGACTGAAATACTTCCAGAATATCATGTTCTATATTGTCTTCATATTTTAGTTTCTCTTTTTGCTAGTGTTTTAGACTATGGTGTCTCAACTTTTTTCCTCTTCTTTTTCCTTCTCACTGCTATTCTTATTCTTCCTAAATCCCATAGATGTACATGATGTGAATATGTGTGTGAGTAAACACGCACACAAGCCAAAGATATTTATTTCTATATGCATACAATATTTATTTCTAAAAAATTACAGATTTTAATTTATGATATAAATTTCTATTCCTATTTGGCTTGCACATATTTAAAAGGAGGTCATGAATGCCACTTCCATCAATATTTATATATTTTAAGATGTGAAATGATATTTGGAAACAATTGCCTTATCAAGATGGTTAGCCCATCTTAGTAAATAATTTTAATGTAAAAATAATGTATTTTGCAATATAACATGTTATATTTTTGGTATTAAAATGAAAATACTTCTCTCACTTATAACAGAATACTTACATTAAAAATTGCATATGATGGCATGGTATGCTAAAATACTAATTATTTATATTTAAATGTTCCTATTAATAGAAAAGTTTTTATTTATTTTCCTTGGAATGTAGGCAATATTACCTGTGTTGTGCTATGGGCACTAAAATGATATAAATTTTAAGGACAACATTTAAATTAAAAAAACATGTTAAATTTTAAAGATCCAGTTTATTTATATTTTGTTTTGCATGTTTATTAGCATTTAGTTTGTTTTATAATTTCACATACTTTTTCAACGAGTTATGCATTCTCAAAACCTAAAATATTTTTAGTTGACTTAATACATTTTGCATGCTATGAGAAAAAAATGATTTCCCTGGTTTCTTTTTTTTAAGTTTAAGAAAGCTTTTAAGTAAATATTTATATGCATATATGTATTTTTTGTGCAAATACTTTGTTGAATGAAATAGCCATAACATTCCAGGTTCTGCCTCATTGGGTCTCTAAGCAAACATGAATCTGAATACAACACAACTAGGGTCTAAAAAGAAAATTCAAGGTAAGCAAAAGCCCTTGGTTCCGCCTCCCACTTTGTTGTACCCTGTTTTGTTTTGTTTCGTTGCGGTTGTTTAGTAGTTTGTAGGGAATGTGCTATTTATCCATTACCTCTTTACATGTGTGTTTCTTGACATTTCACAATTAGAAATACAATGAATTCAGTGCTAACAGAGTGATGATTCTTAGCATACATGTCTTTGAAATGAATTTTAGTATTCTTATCCTCAAGTATTATAATAAAATATTGTCAAAAAGAACATCAAAATATTAAATTTTAAAAGCAAAAACACTGAAATGAGTGAATTCTTCAGCAAATTGCCCAAGAAGAAACCCAAGATTTTAGGAATCAAAATATGATATTCAGTTTTAATATAACTGAAGTCAGTCTTTAAACTGATACTTAACTTTATTGATTTAATTTGGCAATATTTGACTCATAACTCATACACAGTATTTGGTAGAACTTGTATAGTGTGTGTACTCTTATTTTTGCATGAATGTGTAGCTTCTCTCATCAAAATTAAATGAAGCATGTATGTCAAATTTTATGATATAAAATTTGAATGCTTGATAATGTGAAATGTTTCATAAATACCAGTTGTCTATGTGTACATCTATTTTATCATAGGCTATCATAATGGCTTTACTTTTTGCACTTGATAGACTATCCTCTATCAGACTAATTTGTCTCCAGTTAAATTTGCTTGACAGCTAATCTCTTTAAAACTCTTCAAGCTTATGAACTTTCTTGAATTAGGTGAATGCATTTCCATGCTCTATCTGACATTGATAAATTGATGTATTTATATGTATTTTTCATTGGGAGAAAATGTTTTAACTGTGTTTTATTTTCAGAGAAGAACTATTTATACAAACATGGGGACTGTGAAAAGGAAATTCTATAGTGAATTGTGAAAAGTGGACATATTTCTAAATTCATTCCACTGCCTTTATCCAAACTTAAGAATTACAGACATTTGTTATTCCTTCGGCAAGACATCCCCGCTGCGCAGTGATATGTTCATTTCATAATTTGGTTGCTGGCCACCAAGTGCTCCTTAGTTTCTAAATACATTTTGAGATTTACTGAAAACTTGAAGAAGAAATTAATTCCTGATTAAGACTGCCCCAACTTTATTTTTACTGTCGATTCCACCTTTGTTTCTATGTTGTATTATGTCTTTGTTATATAATTGTACATTGTGTGATATGTGGAAAAACACGATTTTGGATGAACTTTGCGTTACATGTACATTGTTTTCATTATATAGACTGCTTGAGAATAGTGCGTTCCTGAGTGATTATGAACATGCCACCATGAAAAGTGAAAATATGGACCATGGAAACACCAGCTAGAGGTTTTACGGACTATAAGCATCTATTGTTATATTACGATTAATTGCAGCAAAAAGTGATGAGTAAAATTACTAGATTGCAATAAGAAAAATCTCATTTTTTTTTTTTTTTGTCTTTCTTGTATACCCCACAAGTTCCTTTTTGTTTCATGTCAAAGGAAGATACCGAGTTTCAGAAATGGTTTTTGAAATCAGGTATTTTACCATCGGTACCCTATAATAGAAATGTTTTTTGATTAAGCGTTTAGCAATATGAGTGAATTGACAGTTTGAGAAAATACCCTGCATGTCAGTAATGGATATTTGAGTTGGAAAAATATCCTTTTTATTAGACATTGTAAAAAAGCATGCATTCTCAGATACTGCTGTTACTCTTCCATTTCTTTATGTCATATGCTTGCTACTTGTAACTTTTTATATAAAGATATATAAAAATGTGTAATAATTTCCTAACTTGAGTTAAAAGAAATGTTTTCTTCTATAGCGTAAGAAAAAACTGACTTACTGAAGTACACACTTTATATAAACACTTTCCACCTATTAGGTGACCGGATGTCCTCTAGTACTGAGGCTTACTTTCTCCAATATTTGATTTCTAAAGTTTTATGGAATATGTTCTCATTTTGAAATAGGAAAATCTTTTTTAAATGCTTTAAAATCACAGGCCCTTTTATGACCCAAATTACACCATTCTGAATTAATCTTATACTCAGGCACACATATGAAACCGAAAGTTTATTGATTATGATTATGTTTCATAGAAATAAAGTAAATCCTATAATACATTTAGTTGCTGTTGAATTATATGCATACTCTATAAAGTTTAATTTACTGAGTGGTACTTTCTTAACTACTGAATGTGTACTCTTAGAAAACAGAAATGCTATATATCTGCATACCAACATTTTCAAAACTGCTTAATTCTGCAGGTTAAAAGAATTTTGTCCTTCAAATAACAAAGCAATCTAGACTCCCACAATTCAAACCTTGTAACTCAAACAGGCTTTACAAACCAAATTTATCAATCAGTGGCCTACATCACTGTTAGAAATTCAATTTCATATATGTTACTAAACAAGTTAATTGAAAATAAAATTTTAAAATAGAAAAAATAGAGAGTTTTATCAATTCTGAATATGTCATATTGAATGTCAGTCTACATAAATAAGCATCCCATTAATTTGACAAACTGGTGAATTAAAAAAAAAAGTTTTATTTTTCTCCATGTATAACCTGAATATGATAAAGAAAAACTGTTTTTTCAATATTATGCTACATATTTTATACATATGCTTATGTTAAAATTTACCCTTTTTTATTTGGCCTGACTGGTTTCTTTATTACTATGCTCACTTTTATGCCCTTTATTTCAAAGTTAATGCAGCCAGGCATTATTTTAGGAAATAATTAGCCATATTTTATATTACCTTCTCTATTTGGAAATCTATATGGGACCTTTACACTTGGAACAGGGTCATCTCAAACCTTTTGCTTATAACAGCAAAAAAAGTCAGGAAAAGAAATTAGGTGAACCATTCACAACTCTCTTGTCTTGCCGTTGCCCACAGGATGTTGGGACCCTCCCGTTCTTCCAAAATATTCAGAATGCTTCTGATTTGCTGCTTCTCTCCTTAGGAGATATTTGCACCACAAAATCACAAATGGCTTTTTTTTTTTTTAACACATCAAACTAAACAAAATATAATGATAAAGAGGAGTGACTTACATAGATTCAATACACAGCCTCCCTATGGGTAAAAGAAATGTTCCTAATAAATAACAGGCCATCTAAGTGGTATTACTAAGAATATTTAACAGTATGGCATGGAGCAGTGATTAATCAGAAAGGAAAATAGTGATAGCACTGGAACAGGGTTCTGGAGATACCCTGTTTCCCCCGTTGATAACTCTGGACTCTGGATCTTGGGAATATGTGCTGTAGGAAACCCAGGAGATGTTTATAGGAAGTCCTGGGAATAACTATTTAAAAGCCAGTATTCGAATCTATCAATATATTAAAAACTCACAAACCCTGGCTACATCAGACCATTTCACCTGCATACCAACCTTTGGCCCACAGTGAAATGGGGAGACACATGTAGGTTAAGAATGGTTGTTTCAAGACTTTTCAATCAAGTTATTTTAATAGTTCTATTGATTTGAGAAAGTGGATTCAAATATTACTAATGCAAGTGCTTCATTAATTCAATAAATTGTTCTCAAATAATGTGGCAGGTTAACTCACAATGTTAATACAAGCTATTTTCATGTTGTCTGTGTGTGAATTCACTTTTCAAAATCTTGAAGGTATATCATAATTATGTGCAACACTTTTTAAGCCCTGAATTAAGCTTTTTATTTCTCTGCGAGTGCATCCTAGTTGCTTAATTCAAGCTTGGTGTGTTGATTTGAAAATCAGATGGTTTTGTACCTGATTTTATGCACATGCCATTTGTATGCATCATATTGCAAAATAGACATGTGATGTTTGAGTTGCCATGATTAACTTTCATTTGATTAGATAATTAAAATGTGGCTGTACACCCACTCCTCACTTATCGACATAGTTAGGTTCCAACTACCAGGTCGTTATGTGAAAATTAGCATTATGTGAAAATGGAGAATGACCACATAAGATCACAAAATGGAGGATGACTACATCATTACATAATTGCTAAATTACATGTTACATAACTGCCCAATTACATCATTGCATAACTGCTAAACCACTGAGAATCATAGTTCAGCCAAGTTGACACATAACCTTAACCATAACAGCCAGCGTTACTCTTGCCTTGCACCTCGGTCTTCATTACTGCCAGACATACGTCATTAACGCACAAAATAGTTGGATAATAGATTTTTTTACTATTGTCATAAATGAGAGATATCAGATAACAAGATAGTCGATAAGTAAGAAGTAGGTGTATACATAATTGGAGGATAATGTTTTTGAGCTTAAAGGAAAAATGACCCACATCGTGGAGATGCTGACTTCTCTATTTTTCATTATTTTTTCTGTTAAAAATATTTCAGTGGGTCCAACGGATTCCTTTGGCTTGACTCTCAGTATTTAATAAAGTGAGGTCTTTGGCATTACTTGAAAACTCACTTAAGCTATTCTGTATTTTCCCCTAAGGAATGTAGGTTTTCTTCAAATTTATACCTTTTTTAAAAATTCCATGACTGGTTTTACCTTGACCTCACAATATAAAAAATTACAAAATATGATACTTATTTCCTGTTGCTTTTATTGAAGTAATGGTAAATAAGTTATTGATGTTTTACAGGTGAAGTAAATAATAGCTTTTTATCTTATTATGAAATTTATCTAGTTCAATGATGAAAATAAGCCCTGTCAGATTTCAACTCTGGAGGGAGGTTAAATACATACAGTCTTTTCAGTTTTCTGAATCCTAAATATGTATGATTTGAAAATTGTAAGTTTTGTCTAACTTCACTGGTGCAACTTAGTTTCTGTGGCATGTTTACCTCACCAGCTTCTCCCCTCTTTGCTCATTTCTATCTATCACAATGCTGGGACACCAGGTCCAGTTAATAAACATTTGTTAAATAAAAGAATAAAAGAAATAGGGCTTGAGCTAAGTTTTCATTCTTATCTATTTAATTAATATTCCATGTGCCCCCCCTTAAAGTTTTAATAAACTAGCAAAATAATAAATATATTGTTAAAATAGCCATGGATGTGTTTTATAAACAATCCTGTCCCATAATTCTGGCATGTTTTGTTAATATAGAATTATCCCGATTATTTTTTAATTAATGAATTTGTTTTAATTGCACTGCAGTTTTCTCTAAGTGAATTATATCATTAAAATAAAGCAAACAGGACTAATAACAATAACAAATACAGGTGAGGAGGGCAGACACTCAGAGCATCTCATTCTTTTTCCCTGTAGCCTCTGGTTTCTTACTTTCTTGCGTGTAATTAAAGAAGTAAGTTCCTTCTTAATTGTCTTACATCCCTCAGAGGGAGGAGTAATAAACTCAACCTGCCCCAGAGTGTGTCGTTACTAGGGTGGGGGTCCGTAAGGTCCTTATTCTTACTCTGCCATGATGGATACAGTCAAACTACTCCTTTATACCCATGATAATTCTGCAGCCAGCATATTGTTTGTCCCCAATTTTCTACCATGTCCCCAACCTCTAAAGCATGTCATTATACAGTGGTTGGTTCTTTGAAAAATTCCTTTTTTTTAATGCCCTCCTCTTCATAGTCATAGATACAGACACAAAATTTCAAAGTGACCAGAAAACATAAAGGTATAAACCATTTAACATAAAGCAATCCTTTTGTATCACATTCTGAATTTGTGCTCTTTATTCATTTTCTTTTGAGTTAAGTGCAACATGATTATAACCAACCTTTTCTGAGCCTGTGCAATGAAAATACCAGGCTTCTTCTTTGGGGGATAAAAAAGAAAAAGGCAATCCCGTGGCAGGCAGTCATAGAGCCTTTAGGAGGAAAGTGCTTAGAGGAGCTGGAGAAGGACAGTGAAGCCCAAGTTGATTTGCTAAATTGACCATCTTGAAAAGCTAGTTAGTTATACAGCCTTGCTTCCCTCCTTCATAATCTTGTATGGATGATAAAATATATTCAACAGTAAAGAGAACACCATGCAGAATGTATGTTTTATAATCAAGAAGTTAGTATCATAAAGCTGGGTATAAAATATCTTCTTTAGGGGATTAAGGCAGGCTTTATGAATAGTTGACTTAAACAAGTCTTGAAGGATTGAAACCATTGCCAAATTGTAGGTGGGGGGGAGGGTACGGATTTCCACTTGGAGAAATTAGAGCAGAGTGTAATGTTGAAAGGTGATTTATCTGAGGTGGCTGGTGTATAAGGGTGGAGAGGGAGAGTAATAATAAACATAGTTGGAATAGTAAGTTGGAGTTTACATCATGACTTCTGAGTGCACTGAATGCCATCCAAAGGAGTTATCTTTTCTTCAAAGGAGAATGTTTTAGTGTCTTAGCAAAGTGTGGCTTAAGAGTTGTATGTTAGGTGGGATCAAGTGAATGGGACTGGAATAAAGAAAAGGAAATCAAAACAATACAGGAACAAGACATTAAAAAAAAGTAACTGATGGATTGTTAG